CGGTCTCACAGTGTTTGATTGCGTTGATGCGGTCATTTGCGGCTGAGACAACGGCTGCGACATCGGCTGCGACGGCGGCACGGCTGCTTGTTCTTCTCCTGGCGTGGAAATATCTTGATTATCGGTGTTGACTTGAGGATTAGGTATGGTGACTCGTGGCGGTGAAGCTGAAACGTTTGTCGGCATAGTTGGTTGTGAAGATGCTCTTGGTGGGGATCTTGAGACTAGAAGCTTGGGAATTGATGATGACGCTGCCTTGTCGAGAGGTGGTGATGGTTGGGGCTGGTTGGTGTTGTTGCTCGGTGTTGAAGATGGTGGTAACTGATAACGACCGAATCCGGGACGTGGGGGTGAAGTTGAGAAAGGTCTTGGGTGAAGAAGTGGACTGTTGGAGCTGGTGTTGGTGGTGACTCGCTGAAGTGATCCTCGTGCTATGAGCTGGCTTGACGTTGGAACAAGTGATGAACGTGTGGTATGAGAACGAGGTGTTGCGGTGACGGTTGACTTGTTGCTAGGAAGAGTCGTAGATGGTGTTGATGTAGGTACTTGGGGTCTTGTAGCTGTTGATTGCTGCTGCATGGGATGATGATGAGCTTCTGTAGTTGCCTCTGGAGTGATGGCTGGTGATGGGTTTGATGGCGTAGTGGTGGGCTGATCCGGTTGGCGTTGAAATTGTGAGGTTGGTGTTGATATAGCTGGCTGGTTTGTGACTGTTGGCTGCTGCTCCTTTGGTGGTGATGGAACGGTGACTTGCTGCGGTGGATTGTCTTCATTTGATGGCTGAACTTCATCTCCACTTGGTTGAGTAGCTGCTGGTGGCACTGGCGTGGCACGGTTGGACTCGTTGACGACGGCTTGAGGGAGATCGATGATCGGTCCGCTATGGTCAGAATCGGTGTCATCTTCTTCCTCCTCTTGTGTTGTTTCCTCAGGTGCGCATGCTGGTTCCTGTTGGATAGAGGATAGAGAGGAGGAAGAGGAAAACTTATGCCAACCTGCAAGGGACATGTCTTCATAGAAGACAACATCCCTTGAAACCACTTCTCGCTTGGTGACAGGATCCCAAAGGACCCATCCCTTGCTCTCATTGCTCATGCCGATGAAGAGGCCCCAATGAGCTTTGCTGTCCAGCTTGAGTCTCTTTGCATCTGGAACACGGTATTGGGCCATGGAACCAAAAACACGAAGCATAGACAGATCTGGTTTAACTCCAAACCAAGCCTCATATGGCGTTACACCTTCCGGTAAGGGCCTTGTGGGTCTCCTGTTGCGAACATAAATTGCCATAGTGATTGCCTCACCCCACCAGAGCTTGTCAAGGCCTTTGAACTTAAGGAAAGTGGTAGCTATAGCCTGGATAGTGCGATGAAACCTCTCTGCCACTCCATTTTGCTGAGGACTATAGGGACAAGTGAACTGTTGTTTGATGCCCAATGCCAACAACTCCCCCTGAAACGCTTTCCCCATGTACTCACCTCCTCGATCCGACCTCAAGGTGAGTAACTTCTTCCCTGACTCTCTCTCAACAAGTGCTAGCCATTGCTTGAAACACTTGTGAACTTCATCCTTGGTGTTGATGAAAAAGGACCACGAGAAACGACTCTTGTCATCAATGAAAGACACCAAATATCTCTTACCGTTTCGAGTAGGGTCTCGCATGGGGCCGAAGACATCAGTGTGGACCAACTCTAGGAGGTCCCTTGACTGAGACTTAGAAGGGAAGAATGGCTTTCTAGCTAGTTTACCTTCCACACAAGATGGACATGGAACGGAAGAAAGGGACTTGACTGCACTTTCATTCAAACTCAATCCTTCCACGCTCTTGTGATTTACCAACTCTTTCAATGCTTGCACTCCCACGTGCCCCAAGCGTGCATGCCATACCTCAGCTTGGGAGATACTCCCTTTGTTGTTGACCTGATCGGTTGAAACAGCGGGAAGCGAGACAACGTCGTTCTTCGTGTTGCTAGCACCGCGCTTAATCTCCAACTTCATCTTGTAGAGCCGCCCGGTACGCTCGCCTTCAGCCACCAGATTTCCTGCACTGTCCCACACTTTGGCTTTCCCCCCTTGCAAGAGAACGGAGGCACCTTTCTCTTCGAGTTGTCCGGCTGAGAGCAAGTTTGCTCCCAAATCAGGAACAAACAAAGCTTTATTGACACAAAATGACTTACCATCCTTTTCGAACTCAAGCTTGCCGACTCCTTTGATTGGTACTTTGCCAAGATCAGCAAGAGTCACAGCTTTTGAGTCATATGAGGGCTGAAAATCCTTGAGAATGGACTGATAGGGAGTCATGGTTTCAGAGCAGCCACTACCAAGAATAAACTCCTCACTACTAGTAGAGAAAACGTGCATGCAAGTAGCAGCGTTAAAAAGGACAGGACCATCGGACTCTTTGGACTCATCTTGACTTGTAGAATGACTTGCTATATTTGCTATGGCTGCCTTACCTTTTTCAGATAGTAGCTGAGGTGGGGGGACCCAATTAGGAGGCTTCTTAGGACAAGCATACCACGGGTGACCCCACTCATGACAACAAAAACACTCAAAATTAAACTTTTTAGCATTCGGGGCTTGGCTGAAATTATTGACTCTTGGCATATTGACTCTTGCATTCCTAGGCTGGTATTGATTGGGAATCGAAGGCCTTGGCTGGACATAGTGACTGGACTTATAGGGAGGACTTGACTGAGGAAAACGAGAGGGTTTGTATGGGTTGGAAGGTGACTGAAATTTCGTACCGTAGTAGGGTTGAGGGCGGTTTGGGCTGAAATTTCCTTGCCTCTGGAATTGGTTGCCATATCTTGTGGCTGCTGCAGCACTCCACGCACCTTCGTCACTCCGCTTGTTCCGTGCAAGGTCTCGACTCTGCTGCTCGTTGACAAGGGCCTCAAAGATGAACGCACGACTCTTCATTGACTGCGGGAGCGCTTGTAGTGTTGCACGGAAAGTGTACCACTCCGGTGTAAGGCCGGTGAGGATGACGGTCTTGAAAAGAGACTCTGGAATCTCCAAGCCGATCGCTGCTGCTTCCTCCAGCATTGCTTCAGCTCGTTGTAGGTAGGCTTGTGCTGATTCATCTTCTTCCATCTTCAGATTCATGAAGCGGCTCCACATCTCGGCTTGGCTGCTCTCGGATTTTGACTGGTGCATAGTCTTCAGTCGGCTCCATGCTTCCTCTGCACTGTTTGCCTTGGTAGAACAGGGCAGGAGCGACTTCAACTGCTGCTCGTGAATGCTATTGAGTAGGTAGAGGAAGGCCTCCTTGTTGCGTCGTTCGTAAAGTCGTTTTTCAGCTTCTGAAGCATCTGCTGCTGGTTTGGCTGCTTCTCCAGTGTAGTAAGGCCACAGATCCAGAAGGGATGCAGTGAGCTCAAACTGAGTTGCCCATGTTGGAAAATCTTTGCCGTTGAACTTGGGGAGGTGAAGCTTAGGCATGAAGGAGGTGAGTGGTGAGTATGTTGTTGAAGGACTGCCTGGTGCAACTGCTTCCACTAATCCAGTAGCTGCTGATGTTGACTCTGAAGCTCCTCCGGCTGGCTGGAGTGCAGGACCAGATGGATTGTCTCCCGCCATGTTCGTATGGTGCTAGGATAGGAACGTGGTGGGCTAGGTTGATCGAAACGACAAGCTCTGATACCAACTTGTAAAACAGAGTAGCTGTGACTACTGGAGGGCTGGAAACTTGGCTGGAAAGTCTTAGCAGGGCTGCTGGAATTGACTGGATGAGGTAAAACTTCACTATGTTCAAGATTAACAAGCCCACTAAAGCACAACCCTATAGGCATCACAAACAAGACAGATTGAAAGCTCAAACTAGGCTGATAGACAATGTAACTTCCCTGGTAACTTGGGCACAATCTAGATTGGATGGACCTTGATTGACTTTGAGTGCCACATGAGGTGCATGAATAAGAAAACCCTGGATATTTCTGTTATAGCTGATTCTGATGTGTAGAAACCTGTAGAAACTGCCAACACTTCGGTTTGAAGGCAGCTTTGAACTATATCAAGTCTTCGGCTGAAATATGATTGGTGGTGGAACTTTCGAAGTACTTCCCGAAGCTCTGATTCATCGCCGACATTCCCCCTTGCTGCTGCTTGTGTGCAAAGGGCTGGGGCGGCAGAAACTCGATTCTCCAACAGAGTAGTCCATGTCTACCACTGGCCTGACAGGAGAAGTGAGGCATGATTCCATCAGTTTGCTTGTCAAAGAAGGGACGTTTGTGGGCGAACACATGTACCGTAGTTGGTTCCCTTGACGTTTCAGGCTGACTGAATGAGTGGAAGATAGCTGCGTCAGTCAGGCGGAGCCTTCGCAGTGGAAAATTTGTTGAGCAGATTGGAGGCATATTGAAGTGTTTTCTTTCACGGTAGTTGCTAATGGAGAGAAGCCCGATGGGGCCTAAAAAGAACAGCTTGCTTGGACTAGAATGACCACGCAAATAAACATCGTCATCAACCACTCAAACTTGGCAGTGTGTATACCTAACCTTGAACCTGCAAAGACGTGAACAGTCTTAGGGCACATTCTTGGCTCGTGTCTGACATGAGGTCACACACGAAGTGAAGTTGAGGAAGACCCGAAGTGACCTCGAACTCTGGCAAATCAATGTTCGGAAGACCCGAAGTGACCTCGAACTCTGGCAAATCAATGTTCGGAAGACCCGAAGTGACCTCGAACTCTGGCAAATCAATGTTCGGAAGACCCGAAGTGGGTCACTTCGGGTCTTCCAAACCTCCATCCAAGCCTCCACTTCGTGTCTGACACGAGGTAGGAATGCACCCTTATCTAGTTTTGAACAATGAAGCCTCTCTGATCTGGAAGTTTTAGGTTTTCATTAGCTGATGAATGTGAACTCACATAAGTACCTGCTGGTACAATATAGCTCACAATTAATTGGTATTTTGTACGTTCATTTCTTTAACAACTAAAAGTACACATACCGCACCCTGCTCTCCTGTAATGTAAACACGATAATTCAGAAATGCGTTTCTTAAGGTGCAAGGCGCTGAGGATCACGGGGGAACATCGATGACTTGCGAATGTTGTTGAGGCCACAGAAGAGCATTACCACTCGCTCCAGACCCACACCAATGCCTCCGTGAGGCACAGCACCGAACCTGAAGAGACACAGCATCAAGTCGGAGTGCACAAACAGGATGGGGCTCGAAAGCTGGTACTACATGGACACCAAACAAAGGCCTGAAACATCTTGCGATGGAAAGAACGAGAGCTCTGGCAAGAAATATTTAGGCAGAGGGCAGACGCTGGTGGAAAGGAAATACCGGAAGGAGTCAATGTAAGGAGCAATGGTCTTGACGTCAATCCCACACTCTGTGGCGCGGCGGGCAAGGAAGTCAGCGTCGTGAACTCGCTGCGCTCCCGAAAGAATCTCCTCGCCTGCCCCACAGAGAGGTAAAGAAGGCTTGTATGCATTTAGACGAGGCAGGAGACTCCAATGAGCTTGTCCGTTCCTATCATTATAATCTGTTCAACTGCACAGGAACATGGAAAAACTGCATCCGTACATTCTCGCACATAGGCCCAAAGGGTCCCCTTACCGCGAATGAAGACATCAAATGAGTTGGTGTAGCGGCCGTCGTCTGGGCATGGCATGGTGTAGAAGGGACGAACAGCCAGGGGGTAGCGATGCATGATGTAGAAATCCACGCCATACCTGAACCATTTTGGAAGACGGGAAACACAGAAAAGGATAGAAGGGAGCAAAACATTTAATTTCGGACAGGATAGGCAAGGTTCTTACGGTGAGCCTTGCACTGAAACACGCCATTCAATTCATCCGTTTCTCCCCTAACCCTCAACTCATCCCTGGTCCATGGCTTACTTTTGCTTGACCAGCTCGCCCAGCTTCTTCTCCTGCTCCGTGTTGATGTCTCCAAACGCATCCACCTCGTACCCCGCCTCCTGCACGCCATGCCATGCCGTGTGCATAGACGGGTGACATCGTGCGCAAAAGTTGGAGAAGGAGGGGAAGCAAGAAGGGAAGGCATTGAAGAGGGCGTCCCAGGAAGATGAAGCGAACAGGAAGCAGGCTGAGACTCGAAATATAAAAAAGGAAGGTGGCAGATGAATCAAATAACATGCTGAATGCGGAGTGCATAAGCACAGGCGAAAGACAGCTTAAGACTGGCCTGCGAAGCAAAGCAATCACCTTGAGCAGAGCCAAGCCTTCAGGGAATGTAATGCGCACTCCCTCCTTGGTGTACTGCCCACCGTGATGGGTAAGACAGAGGGGGACAGCAAGGGTGAGTGTGCTGACGCGTGAGCATGTGAATGCCCGGGGAGGGAGGGATGTGGGGAGTAGCGAGGGAGAGAGAGAGGGTGTAAGAGGGAGAGGGAGCGCGGGAGGGAGGGGGGGAGAGAAGGTGGAGTAAGAGTGTCTACAAAGAGATGACGCAAACACGTGCACCAAAGGCACCATACAACAACGGCAAAAGGGAACGGGGGAAAAGGTGACGTGATGAGAAAAGCAGCAGAGAGCGCGAGAGCAGGCGGACCTTGAGCGGTTCAAAGGGGTACTGCTGGTTGATGGCGGCTAGCTCCTTGGCCCAGCGCGTGTTGAGCCCATCGAATATGTGCACAAAGAGGTCGTTTATCACGTCCATTATCTGCCCCGTTGATGGGTGGGTGGGTGCATGGGTGGGAGAGTGAGCACACGTGGACGCGAGAATGGAGTATCAGTCATGCCATGCCACCCATGTAGGCCAGTCCAACTGGGCTGATGATGCAGGAAAGAGCGACACCCGCCATGCACCATGCAAAATTCATGGTGCACCACGCGCGCATTCAACCTTCCCTCCAGATTGTTAGCAGCGACCTGACCGCCTAAACAGTCCCACACCTTCATGCAATCCCCTCTACCCTCCTCCCCCTCCCACTCCTCATCCCCCTCCCCTTCCCCTTCCCCTCCCCCTTCCCTTCCCCCTCCCCCTTTCCCCCTCCCCCTTCCCTTCCCTTCCCTCCCCATTCCCTTCCCCCTCCCCCTTCCCTTCCCCCTTCCCTTCCCTTCCCCCTTCCCTTCCCTTCCCTTCCCTGCCCTTCCCCCTCCCCCTCCCCCTCCCCCTCCCCCTCCCCCTCCCCCTCCCCCTCCCCCTCCCCCTCCCCTCCGCCGTCCACCCGCAGCACCTCGGAGTAGTGTTCAGTGATCTGCATCTCGAAGTCCATGCCAGTGAACTCGCACAGGTGCCGGTGCGTGAACGAGTCCTCGGCGCGGAACACGGGCCCGATCTCAAACACGCGCGCCATGTCAGCGCACACGGCCATCTGCTTGTACAGCTGCGGCGACTGCGCCAGGCACGCCGCCTGCCCCTTGTAGTCCAGCCGGAACACCGCCGCGCCGCCCTCGCTGGACCCGCCGATGAGCTTCGGCGTGTGGATCTCCATGAAGCCCTGCGCCGTGAGGTACTCGCGGAACAGCTGCGCGCAGGGGGGAGGGGGAGAGGAGGGCGGAGAGCGAAGTGGGGAGTTGAAGGATTGAGAAGGGAGGGGCGGATGGGGAGGGGAGCGGAAGAGGGGAAGCGGGAGGGGAAAGGGCCGGTTGGATAGGGCGCTGAGGCCGGATAGGTTTCCCATCTCGTGGGATTGACTCATGGGCACAGCGGCAGCATGCACGGAAGTGACTGACAGCACAGCTAACCCCAGGACGGTAAGCAGAGGCGGTGGCGCACATGACATGACATGACATGGCACCTGCCCCACGGCGGACTGCACGCGGAAGATGGCCTGGTTGGCGGGCGTGCGCAGGTCCAGCACCCGGTGGTTCAGCCGCGTGTCCTGCCCCACCCTCACGTACTGCACCCCCGTCTGTCACCGGGTAAAACGGGGGGAAGCGAAGGGAGGGACGAACGGATGGGAAGAGGGCGGGATGGAGACTCGAGGGTGTGATGAATAGGAACACGACTGATGACAGAGGGAGAGCGGAGAGAAGGGCCTGGGGATTGGGTTCAGAGCTGAGGTGAAGAGAAAACACAGTAGGCACGGTGGAGTGGGGCGGAAAGAACATGCACGCAATGGCACGAGGACCCCGAGAATAGCGAACAACCACAAGGGGCGCTCACAGCAGCAACGGAGGTGGCAGCGGCAGGGAGAGCAGCAGCGGCAGCAGCAGCGGCGGCGGTGGCGGTGGCGGCAGCATCATGAGCGGGTTACCTTCTCGGCGTCCTCGATCTCCTTCTCGCTCCTCGCCGCATCGTCAATGTTGAGTGGCAGCACTGCCAGCGCGCGCGACACCGCGTGCACCGACCGCACATGCAGCTCCACCTGCGGGGGAGAGCGCGTGGGGGAGGGCGCGCGCATGGGGGGAGGGGAAAGTGGAGGGATTGGGCGGGGGAGAAGGAAATGATGGAAGAGAGGTTTAGTCGGGGGTTTAGAGGTCAGGGGAATGGGAAGGAGAAGGACGCGAGTTAGGAGAGAAGAGATAAGACAAACGGGCAGTTAGTATTGCAGCGTGAGTTGCTCGGCCAGTTTCCCCATACCTGCGACGCTGGGCTTTCGGGCCCCCAACACCCGGCAAGCAACCATCACCCATCATCCGCACACCCCGCTGCCATGGCTTCCCGTGCTGCGACGCGCTCACCTGCTGCGACGTGGATTCGATGGGCTTCTCCGGCAGCACGACGTCGCCCGTGACGTCGACGACACTCTCGCGACTCAGCCCCGCCGCGTACTTCACCATGCCCTTGCTCACGTGCGCGCCCTCCGCGCCCACCGCCAGCACGCACTGCGCCGTGCACCCGCCCTCGCGCAGCACGATGAACCCCATCTTCCCCTTGGCGCGCACGTTGTGCACGCGCCCGCGCACCAGCACCACCTCCCCCGCGCGCGCGGGGACCAGGTCCGCCACGCGCGTCCACTGCCGCCCCGACACGTGCTTCGACTGCACCTCGTCGGGCGGCAGATCGCCGTAATTCGCGGCGAGCGGGTCCTCCTCCTCTGCGCCGCGCGCGACCGGCGGAGGTTGCGGCAGACGGGGAGATGCGGGGGAGTGAGAGGGGGGAGTGGTTGCAAGGGAGGGGAAAAGGAGAGGGAAGGAAGTGGGAGCGGGAGGAAGGGAGGGAGTGGAATTGAAGGAGGGTAGGCCAGCGAAGTGCGCGTGCAACGAGAGGGATCTCAGGGCAACTCGCATAAGCGGGAAGACGAAGGGGGCGGCATTGCGCCGCAAACGAGAATGTTTGTAGCAGGATAACGTCAGTCAAACCGCGGATCGAGGGAATCCGACGCACCCGCCGCGGCCTGCTGCTGCTGCTGCTGCTGCGCCTGTCGCGCCGCCAGTCGTTCCGCCTTCTTCGCAGCCTTCGCGTCCTTCTTCGCCCCGGACTTGCTCACCGTTTCCCCCGCATTCCCCGCCGCCTTTTCCGCTGTCTCCCCGTCCGTAATTGTTGCCGTGGCGAGGGAGACCGTCACGTCAGCTGTGGAGGGCGGGGCGTCAGCCATGGAACCTGATCTAATTTGATCCGATTCGAGCGGATCGGATCGAATCTGGACTAGGAGAAGAGAGCGGCAGGACGTGGTTGAGAGATATAAGTCCGACGCAGATCGACGGGGTGAGGGGTTGAGGGAAGGCGCAACGAGGAAGAGTGCTGCTGATAACTGAACGTGGGTTACGTAACGAGGAAGGAGTGGCGGAGGTTTCGAGGGGTGGGAGTCTGGGAGACCATGCCGAACCCAGACTCATTATAGCGAGGATCCTCATGTTTACAGGTACAGATTTCATCTATATAGAAAGACAAACTCGTTTCACGTAGTGATTATCCAACATCAATGTGCATTGCAAGCCGAACATCCATGGCAACATCAGGGGAGTGACACCAAGTGGCATTTCAGCTAGCAAGGCTTCCACAAGCACGACAACCTCAAAAACATGCACCGAACCAACCAGCAAAAAACCACCCGCTTCCACAGCAGAGCAACCACCGCAATTGCTGCGAAAGGGTGACGTAAGATATGCGTGGTCAGGAAGGTGGCACGTGCATGTAGTCATCATTACTTGTAGAGTCGTCATTACTTGTAGTCGTCATTACCTGCATCCGCCCAATCACTCCGTTGCACCACCGTATTTCGCACATCCCTCACCCTCAGAATCAAATCCAAAGGCCCACTGCCACTGCCACCATCACAAGCAACACCTGCCGCTTCTCCAGCTCCAGATGACACAACCTCAGCCGCAAGATTTGTCGGAGCAAGCTGATTGGTTCTCCCAGCAAGCACAGCAGAAGGCAGGCATGAGGAGGCAGGGGGCAGGGCCGGGGAGCCAAAGTTGCCAAGCAGCAAGGGGTCGACGCGCGAGATGGGATGGATGCCCAGTGTGCCGAGCACACAGCCACCCACCAACAACAGCCCCTCCACTGAATGCCCCGCACTAGGGCCCGCCATGGCTGCCCCATGCACGCGCACAGGCGACCTGGTGGCAAGGGGGTGGTGCAACAATAGGGCACACGGCGTGAATGGGTGGGGGTGACAGTGGGAGAGAGAATGCGCACGCGTGGGGTGATGAGCATGCATGCAGAACAGCAACAGGCGTTATGCCACGCCATGCGTACTGCAAACGGACAGTGCAAAGCAACACTCCTCTATGTAATCGGAGCCATGCCCCTGTCCCTGCTGCAGTGCCCCTGCAGTGCATGGCGTGTCTCACCAGTGCAGGGTGTGCAGGTTGAGCAGGTACGCGTCTGACAGGTAGTCCCGTGTGCCGTACGTTGTGCCCTCCATCAGCAGCACTTGGTCCGGCCCCACCTGCTCCCACACACAGATAGCAGCACACAGCAGCAGGCAGCAGCAGAGGGTGTGGAGGATGAGCAAGGAGAGAAGCGCACATGCATGGAGCATGAAGCACGGAAGCACGAGAATCCCAAAAACTTGACGCAGGCAGACAGAAGTGCCAGACGCCCCCAGAGGCGAGCGCAGCAGCACGCACCTTGGTGATGCCCGAGCGATGGCGTGGCAGCGGCAGCAGAGCAGCGCGCGCGGGCAGCAGGCGGGGAGCGCGCGCACGTGCTCGGTGTGAGGGTTGCTCACGACTCGTCCAAGCACCCCAGCGGCGTATGCGAGGTCGGGACGAGTAGAAACAGCGGCATACATGAGCGAGCCCACTAGCGAATGAAACCGCTTCACTTCGGCTTCGTCGAGGGTGGATTCTTCCTCTCCCGTTAGGCAAGAATATCCCGTAGCTAGTGGTGTTCCCACCGGTTTGCTATCGTCCATGCCGAAGCTCTCCACTACCCCCTTCACATACTTCTCTTAGTGGAGGTGGATGGTCCCGTTGGCTCGGTCACGGTCGTCGTGCATCCCAAGGTAGTACGTGACCGACCCCAAGTTCCTCATCGCAAACTCCGCCCCTAGCCGTTGCTTGACCTCCCGAATGAGGTCTTTGGAGTCGGAGAAGAGGAGTAAGTCATCGACGTAGAGCAAAAGCACCAATTGCTTCTCCCCCTCCTTCAACACATATAAAGCGCTATCGCACTCACTACGCACAAAGCCGTGTTGAAGAAGAAATTTGTCGATGCGCTTGTACCATCCGCGTGGACTTTGCTTCAAGCCGTAGAGGGTACGATTGAGCTTCCATACCCGTCCGCTACCTTCATCGTACCCCGGGGGTTGCCGCATGTAGACTTCTTCCATGAGAAACCCGTAGAGGAAGGCGGTGCAAACGTCCAATTGCTCCACCTCGAGGTTGAGAGATGCCGCTAGCGCGAGCAACACCCGAAGAGTTGTAGCCTTAGCGACGGGAGCGAAGGTCTCGCTATAGTGCTCCCCCTCCCGTTGAGTGTAGCCTTGAGCTACAAGCCTCGCCTTGTAGCGTTCGACACTCCCATCAGCTCCCAACTTCTTCTTAAGTACCCATTTGCACCCCACCAAGTAGGCACCCTTCGGCGGGTCGACGAGCTCGAACACGTCGTTCTCTTTTATCGAGGCTAGTTCCTTCTCCACCGCTTGTTTCCACAGTGGCGCATCCGGAGAAGCCAAAGCCTCGGTATGGGTGCGAGGGTCATCACCCAAGGTTGCGAAGCAATATGCCGCACGCTCCTCGTCCAACTCCCCAACGGCTACCATAGCGTAGTCGTTGTACTTCGTGTTGGGGTGATGTGTACGTTGCTCGCGGGTCAACGCCAATGGGAGGGAGGAAGGTGTGGAGGAAGTTGTCGTCTCGGTTGGTGGCACCTCCACCACGTCGTTGTCGCTCCCCTCGTTCTCTCCCCCTCCATTTTCAGCTTCCTTTTCCACTTGTGATGGAACCTCCACCGCTTCATCCTCCTCTCGTGCGGGAAGGACGACGGTGAGTTTCGGCGTTGGTTGTTCCTTCGTCGGGAACTTGTCTTCGTCGAAGACTACATCCCGAGACGTGATGACGCGCTTGTCACCCAAGTCCTACACTCGCCATGCACGCTCGTTCGCCACAATTCCCAAGTAGATTGCCGCACGAGCCTTCGGTTGCAACTTGTGGCGAAGGGGATCCGGTACATGGTAGTAGCAAAGGCACCCAAAGGTGCAAAGGCGGGATAGGTTCGGCTTCGTTCTGGTCCATGCTTCGAACGGAGTCGTTCCCGGGAACACCTTCGTCGGCAAACGGTTGCAAATCCACGCCGCCAACGAACTCGCCTCACCCCACCACTCGCTCCCAAGCTTGGAGTGTTGAAGAAGTGAACGAACGGCTTCCACCAACGTGCGATTAAGCCGCTCCGCCGCTCCATTTTGTTGGGGTGTCTAGGGTGTTGTGACGTCGTGCTTGATGCCCTTGCTCTTCATCCATTTCTCAAGCTCCGCGCTCACGAATTCGCCGCCACCGTCGGTGCGAATACACTTGATCCGCTTCTTGTCGCCGTCGCAAACTTCGAGCGCCCACTCTTGAATCGCCTTGGCCGCGTCGCCCTTTGCCGTCAAGAGCCGGGTCCAACACATCCGCGTCGCGTCGTCGAGCATCACCAAGAGGAACCGCTCTCCTCCCTTTGATGCATGCCGCATCGGTCCACACATGTCCATGTGAACAAGCGCAAGCGGGTCTTTAGCGAGGGGTGACGTTCGGCTACCGAATGGCTTGTGAGCCATTTTTCCTTCGACACACGCCGCGCACACGCCCTTCTCGTCGTCGCCGGCAATCACGTCGATTCCTTTCGCAAGTCCTTTGTTGGCCAACTCCTTGACTGACTCGTACTTGGCGTGCGCAAGCCGATTATGCCACGCCTTGAGAGTTGCCTTGGAGCCTTGCGCCACGTTGGATGAAGCTGCTTTCGGGTGCATCTTCAATTGGTAGAGTTCTCCGTTGAGAACGCCTTGTGCGAATTGCTCTCCCTTCCAAAAGAGGTTCATCTTCGCACCGTCGATGGTGGCGATCACGCCCTTCTTTGCAAGTTGCGGAACGGATAGAAGGTTCACTTTCAACCCCGGGACGTGAAGCACTTTCGTGACGTCCACCGGTACGCTATTGACGATAAGGCGCGTGCTCCCAACTCCAACCACCGGTAGCGATTTGTTGTTTCCGAACACGATGCTCGTGACGTCTCCCGGAGCGCCAATGTTGTTGAGGAGCGACGTCGAGTGCGTCATGTGTTGCGTTGCGCCGGTATCGAGGAACCACGCGTCGCTTGGAATTTTGTTCCCGTTGCCGGCCAATAACACGAGCGATTCCTTCGAATCATCCGCCTCGCCGGATGCCGTATGCGCATTGCCCTCTTCGTCCCGCGCCTTTGATGGAGTCCAATCGCTCGGCCGCCTTCGACACTCACGCCAAAAGTGTCCCGGTTTGCGGCAATAGTGACACTTGCCGCGATGCTCGCTCCCAGCCGACGATTAATTCGTCGCACCCTTGCTCCACTTGGACTTCTTTCCGGAACTCCCTCCGGGGTACATGACGGTCCCCACGCTCTCATTAGCGAATTGTCGGTGACGCGATTCCTCATGGAGAAGCTGACCGACCACCATTTCCTTTGTCCAAGTGTCTTGCACACTATCGAGTGTCGTAATCACCGCCGACCACTCTTCTGGTAGGCCGCAAAGCAAGGTCAAAATCCAATCCTCCTCCATGATTGTTCCACCAAGGTCCATAAACGTTTCCCCGAGTTCCTCCACACGAGTCGCATACTCGTGCATCGATTCGCCCGCCCGCATCTTCACCGTGTAGATCGCATTCCGGGCTAGGATCTTGCCGTGTAGAACCTTGTTCACGTGGGTGGTCTCGAGCCGCTTCCACGCTTCATGCGCCGACGCTTCGAGCTTGATGCACATGCGCACCGAGCTCACGAGATTGATGCCGATGCGCGGAATCAACGTAGCGAACGCCTTTTGGTCCTTCTTCTTCCATGCCGTGCTGCCGCTCTCGTCTTCCGGCTTCTTCTCCGTTCCATCGAAGAAACCCCAGAGTCCCCGCTCCATCATGAGCACTTGGAACTTAAACTTCCACGCGGAGTAGTTTTGTCCCATGAAAATCGGTATCGCCGACGTGTCGAACATCATCGCGGTTGCCCAGGGTTCGCCGGAATTTACAACGACACCATCCAAGGAAGCGCGGGAGGCCTCGCTTGACGTCATCATGCTTGCTCCTTGTCGCGCGCGTAGACTCCTCCGACCAGCTCTGATACCACTGTTGTAGAGGACTCTCCTCTACTTTGTAGGAACTGGGATTTGTTCTAATCACTAGAGCTCTGTCTTAGCTTTCCAACGAGCCATCAATCACTTCGTTCGCCTAAGAAACAAGTGAGCTATAGGTGGAAACGTGAAGACTATGCTCTAGGAGTAAAGATTAGGAGCTCTCTGGATTTTCTGGTTCGAATGTATGATGTTTAAAGAACTCTGGTTTTCACTATGAAGCATGCAATACAAAGAAAACAGATTTATAGCATGCAACAAACATCGAGTCGCACAAGTAACCTCGAACCGCTACACTCTCGAAAGTTCGAGTAACATTTCGAAGGGGTGAAATTCGACACTCGAATTTCACCGAATCTAATTCTCCTTTAGTCTCGATTCTTCTTGTGCTGCCATGTGGCACCGAAGTGTAGGTTCTTCCAAAGTCAACCAGCACCTTCGCGAAACCTGCAGTGAAGACAATCGGAAGAAGCACTTGCGAAGCATCTTTCGGTGGTTGGGGGCAAACATCGCCTCACGCAACCTCCAACAGTATGCATGCGTTTTCACCCTCGGTTGCAATGCTGGCAGCCGCCATGCTGCAGAATTGGCAAACCACCCTGGTACAGCGCTGGCAGGCCATCGACTTGCTAAGATGGCAAGCCGTATTTTTGCAGTGTTGGCGTGGTGTCGGCTTGCAGTGCCGGCAGACTGCCAACTCTGCTGCTCTGGCGGTCGACCTGATTGTTTGCTAGGTTGCCATGCATCCGATGTAGTCATTGTAGCAATAGCAATATTCAATCATCCTTGTTCTCAAATTTTGCTAGGAAGACTCATGTTGTTTTACCCAGTAAACGCACAAGTGCTATAATACACAAGCACAGCTACGGTTACTAAAACCACTCGCGCCTTCACTCATAGTTCAGCTCCCACCGTTGTAACTGTCAGCACATGCTTGCCCAAATTTCATGGTTTTCATGTCCGTACAAAAATGAATTGGGCGGGGTGATGGAAAGAGGGAGAATAGGGCGGGGTGCTGGAAAGAGGGAGAATGGGGCGGGGTGATGGATAGCGGGAGAATGGGGCGGGGTGATGGATAGCGGGAGAATGGGGCGGGGTGATGGAAGGAGGGAGAATATGTCAGAGGTCCA